TTCCGAAGCTGGGATTTCCGTATACTGGACAAGTTACCTCGCCCACTTGCTGCCGAATTTCCTGCAAAGCTGACCTGGCGCAGTGCTCTGTCATGGAGAGCATTTGGAATTCTTCGTTCATGCATCCAACATGGCATGGGAGCCAGTGAAGTGGCTGAAATGTTCCGAATGCAGCATCTTCAACGCTATGATGAAATTAGACTGCAGTACCTCCACACTAAGGCTGCTCACATCCACCTCCCCCATCAACATTATGAACCATTCCTTTCATTTGAAGACCAGTCTGATAACGGCTTTCATGGATTCACACCAAGTGGCCAATGGCTCCGAGATGTCTACGATGATGTCATGGAAGGCCATCGTGACACCCTAAACCAACATACTGCTATGCTTCCTGGACGTGTATGTGCAATTGATCATAGTCACAAGGTACTACAACTCTACTGTTTTGAGATATGTCAATTAAATCATGTTTTAGATTGCGAAACATGTTTTCAAAGTCAACGGTGTTTCTATATTCACTGCTCTCTTAACAGTAACAAATGAAAATGGTGAAATTTGTGTCTGTCTTTTTGTCGCAACAAAGTCACATTCTCAATATGCTGAGGTACTTCGAAATATGTCACGAGATTTGACTCTCTACGGACACTCTCAGCCTGAGCTATTCTACACCGATAATATGCAAGATAAAGGCATGCTCGAGCACATTTTTACATCATTACTGGATAAAGTCACTCCGATCGAAAAGTATTCACACCTTCCAAATTTCTCCCTTCCTCATTCATGTACACCACAAATCTTAAACTCAGCATCGGAAATCAACAATGCCATTCGTGGCATCCTTAATGACCTTCCTACACCATCCGAGTCACAATTAGGAGGAAAGATAGTTGTTGGATTTGATTCAGAGTGGAATATGGATACATCACCGTCAGGACACATTGTTGGGCATGGTCCACCTGCAGTAGTGCAGATTGCCTATAAGAATCAGGTCTTCATCCTCCAGGTATAGTGTTTTTTCAAGGTTATTCATTGTACTGAGCTTACTTTGACCATAGATTGGAGAAATGCTCTCTCGAAAGAAATTGCCATATGAGTTGCTCAACTTTCTAAAAGATCACCGAGTGATAAAAGCAGGCTGACTGGTAAATGGGGATCTCCATCAGCTTGCCATTGCAGCAGGAGAAGATCTGGACACATTCCAAGGTGGACTTGATCTTGCCTCGTTTGCTAAGCAACGACTCCTCATTACTAATGCTCGCATATCTCTTGCGGAATTGACTGCAGTCATCCTAGGAAAATGTCTTTCTAAGAATCAGACAGAACGTATCTCGAGCAACTGGAGTGACCAAGAACTGACAGCTGATCAGACTCAGTATGCTGCATGCGATGCTTATGCATGCCTATGTCTATTCCACAAGATATCCGAGTCTCCAGAGCCAACACCACTATCCCTCACATCAAAACTAACAGAATCAATTGGACAACCTGTTCTCATCATGACAACTGATAACAAAAAGATTGCAGCACGCGGCACCATTTCAAAGGCAATTATCCATTCCTCATTTGACAATATCAACTTCACACCTACACGAATTGTTGTTTCTGTACACGAGGTTAATATACCTGCCACCATCATGACTCAACATCGACGACAGCCACTATCAAGTATGGGATCTGTCCCATTTGATGTGGTAGTGCACCGCTCACATATCTGGACACTTGATACTGTTTCAGAACATGACTCCCAGGCCCTCATTCAATCAATCTCAGCATCGCTTCCTCATTCATTGCCACTTATGGGTAATTCTACAGTAAATTCTCAAGATTCAGATTCATTTCAACTCAATCCAGACTTTTTGGACCCCATGGCCAGTGAAACTAGTCCCAGTGATGACACAGCACCAATTGGTGAATTACTGAGCAGTAACTCAGACTTGGACAGTACTAATCATACATCTGAGCCATCTCTCAATAACTCACAAATCTCTGAAAGCAGAGATCCTCATAGTGTCAATCTTGGTTCTGAAACTTTGGGACCACATAATCTGGAATCCAATTCCTTCATCCGTAGCAGAGTTCTGAAAGATGTATTTCATGTTTTCAATATGCTGTATATCTCATGGACTCATGGACTTCGTGTTGCCTTTGCTCAAACTCTATGTGATGCACTGTTTGTACCTCATCCAGATGACAAGGCACACATCGAGTCATGGTTGAGAATGCAGGACCTTTCTTGGGATGACATGCTACGGTTTAATCCAACTTGGTTATGGCGGCGATGCAGGTGCACTATTCCTCCACCTGAAATCCTTTTTCCATTGGTTCATGATGTCTTCATGACTTGGGGTGCTCTCAAAGATGCAAGGACACAACTTCCATTGTTCAATGACAGTGCATGGAAGACTGCTAAAAACATACTTGAGCTAATTCGAAATGGATTCATTTCTGACCCACCAGGTATTCCACTATATTACATCATTGGTCTTGACATGAATGGACTGCCCATTTATCGTTGCATTTGGGGCACTAATTCAGTCAAAGGAGGTGTACACACACACCTGCGTACAATGCTTCCATCTTGTGGTGCCTCTGTTCATCATATGGTGACTTGTCTCCTGGATTTCATTCTTCGTCACAATCTCTTAGTGAGTGCATTGTGTCACTGGTATTGAGCTAACTCACACATATTGCAGGTGGGAACATTCAACACAACTGGCAAAAAATATATCGGCCATGATTCAATTTGGCTTCTTAATGAGATCCAGGAACTTGAAATCACACTTACAACAGCTCATCCTTCGACATCACCATTAGAGTTGTCATTTGTCAATGGGAACCTGTATCAGCAGACAACTGAAGCAACCTGTATCAGCAGACAACTGAAGCAACCTGTATCAGCAGACAACTGAAGCAATGGGAATAATGTCAATTCCAGCATCACTTCGAGTTGAGGCTGGAATGCTTGAGTTTGTCAAAAGCACTGATGCAGCACAAAAACAGGCCTACCTGGCAAAGATGCAGGGTACATGAAGACCGATACTTCCTATCAACACTGTTGCTGAGTGAAAATTATTCAATTGGCTGATGCGAAAATGTGATGATTTTTGTTCTTCAACAACATCAATTAAACTATCAGCAGTTAAAATCTGGAATCGCTATGCTGAGGCTGAAGATGATATCTACTACAAGGTGAGTTTTTATGTATGTACATCACAACTTAACTAACAAGGCCTCAGCTCGAAGAACACCTTACCTCACATTTCAAAGGTAATTGGAAAGATGTCACAAATTCAATTCAATCTGTGTGCCAGGCATTGGCATCTATCAATCCACTTCAGAAGCGCCTTCATAACCCAGGACGATCGAAAGAAATTGTCAATGTTCCTGCTGCGACAATGTCTGTTCATTCTGTGACACAAGGCTTTCAGTGCCTACAACTGTCTGAAAGCAGCATGTAAGTTTGTATCTTAATTTCATTGTTGAATATTCTAATGTTTCAATTTGTCCTAGTAGCCGCACTCCAACAACTGATATGCAGCTATCACAACCACCCGAGACTCCATCAAGTTTAAGTGAGTCAAACACAGTCATAGCACTACACAATTTCGCATCAGCAAATCGCATGAGTATCAACACTGCCGAAGCAACAGTTACCTTGAGTAGACAACAGGTCAAAGAATCTTTACCGGAACAATCAACTCAAAACCCAGATCAAAAATCAAGAGGATGTCCATGGTGCAAAGGCGAGGATTGCAATGGAAGGCAAGCATGGTATCGGTGCCAGCACAAATGCCAGGACTGTCAAACCCTCAGTGTTGCTGATTGTGTAGGTCGAAGCTCGGCAGCACTACACAAACGTCAGTGTGTTCCTGCATCAGATATCAGGCTCACAAATGCAGCAAAGAAGGTGATAGATGCAATAACACAAAGTAATCGGTTTTAGCTACATATGGACATTTTCTTCTGATATGCATAGTCATTCTCATGTATGTTATGCAAAGAAAACTTATCTTCTTGTCACCCATCCTCCATTAACCTCAACAAATTCTTTCGTCCATTGATTCCTTCAACCAAAGGTCTGAAATCAAGCAGACTCAAACCAAGAACCCGTAGTGGGTGGAGTAGGAGCAAGAAGATAGCGGAGTATGCAGAAACATGTGGTAGGAGTCCTAAGTTGACCCAAGTGCGTTATCGATGTAGGTGTCACCCTAATTTGTCAATTTAGAGTCGCTATTTGCTAAATGACAGCTGGCAGCTGTTGTCGAAGCTGTTGTCGACCGGCAGAATCCGTAAGATAGTGACCTAAAAGGGACTTTGAACTGATTTGGACATTATAGCAGACATCTCAAGATAGATCATATTCCAGCACACCACTGACATATTGTTCCACAGCTGAATCAAGGAGTAACAGAGAGGTGAATTCAAATCTCCCCTCTCTCTTTTTTCTTTTTTCCCTTTTTGGAATTAAATTAATTATTTTTATTTATGCCACTGACACCAGTACTGAGCCCGAAGTTCAAGATCCTCCCTCGCAGATCACTAAGATTAGATTATCTGATACTGGCCGACTAGCTCAGTTGGTTAGAGCGTTGTGCTAATAACGCGAAGGTCTTGGGTTCGATCCCCACGTTGGCCAATTGTGATTTCCTATATGGGTTATTTCTTTTTTTCAAAAAAAAAAAAAAGAACGACAACTACAACCACACGAATGAATGAATGAATGGATGGATGAATGGATGGATGAATGACGATGGACCCGGAAACAAAGTAGAACTGGGCACTAGCGATGTTTATTATCTGAACACTACAGACGTCGATGCGCTGCTGCACCAGACTCAGGGATCTGAATCGTCATTCATGTTCATTACATACTTTTTTCTTTTTATGTACTTCTTATATACTCATTTTATCCAAGACGCCCCCGTTCCTTCTCAAGAACCAAACCAACCATAAAAAAACATCCATCCATCCATCCAATTCATCAGCTTTATTTTTATTGGACACACCCGGAATCGAACCGGGCACCACCCGCATCCTATGCTATTGTGTATATCCATGCGAAGCGGGTGTGATAACCAACTACACCATGTGCCCTGTGCCCTTGTACTTGTTGCTTGTTGTGTGTCGAGTTGATCAGTAGAAGCGCAGATATGTACAAAGACTCGTTTTGGGTGTCCTCCCTGACGACAGGTCCATCGACGAGAATACATATTCATATTACGTATGGCGAAATATGGTTCCGCTCACTTCCGAACGTCGATCGGACATTGCGTATGGACGCACGCACGTCGGAGGTCGGAAGTCGGAAGTCGGACATCGGACACCGGACATCGGATATATCGAAATCAGAAAAAGTTGTCACGGCTCAGCAACAACAACAACAACAATGAGGATATCGCCACGCAGTCTGTTCACGGTGCTCGATAGCCAGACGTGTAGACGGCGTATAGAGATGTATGATAAGGCTGTGAATGCGTTTGTGCGTGTTGCGCCTGTGCGTTCTCCTGATGGGGGGGCTGGGGATTCGAGGATTCGAGGGTGGCCGGTGGGGGTGAAGGAGAATATATGTACGAAGGATATGGGGACTGGGTGTTCGTCTTTGATTTTGAGGGGTGCGTGGATGGGGTGTTGGTGGTGCTGGTGCTTATTGTTGTTTTTGTTATGTAGATTTTGAGCCGGGGTACGACGCGACTGTTGTTAGGCTCCTACGTGCACAGGGTGCGGATATCGTTGGAAAGACGAATTGTGATGAGTTTGGGATGGGGTGGGTGATGTGTATTATTGTGATGATGATTATGCTTACGACGGCTACAGATCGATGAATGTGTACTCTATACATGGGCCCGTGCGGAATCCTTGCTTTATGCGTGCGGGAGAGGCGCCGCGTGTGGCGGGGGGGAGCTCGGGAGGGAGCGCGGCGGCTGTTGCGGCGGGGATGTGTAGAGTGTGAGTGTTGGCCGTGGGGCTGGCTGGGTGGGATTCTGATGTTCTGCAGAGCGCTGGGCACGGATACGGGTGGGTCGACGCGTCTGCCTGCGTCGTACTGCGGAGTGGTGGGTCTGAAGCCGTCGTATGGGCTTTTATCGAGGTTCGTTGAGGGTTGTTTGGATTGGGGGTTGCTGACGGCGAACGAACATGTAGATGGGGGGTGGTGTCGTTTGCGGATAGTTTGGATTGTGTGGGGATCTTTGGGGCGGATGTGGAGAGTGTGAGGGAGGTGTTTGGGGTGCTGGATGTGTATGATGCCAGGGATGCGACGTCTGCGTCTGTGGAGAGGAGGGAGAGGGCGCAGGGGCGGTGGAGGAGGAGGGTGGAGGAGCTGGGGCTGGCTGGGGGGAGGCTGGATGGGGTGAGGGTGGGTGTGCCGCAGGTGAGGTGATTTGGATTCTTGTTCAGTGGGACTGAGGGCTGGCAGGAGTACTTTCCCAAGGAGATGACGGAGGATGTGGTGGGGCTGGTGAGGCGGGCGCTGAGGGGATTGAAGGAGCGCGGGGCAGAGATTGTGCCCGTGTCGCTGCCGAGTACGGAGTATGCGCTGAGTGCGTATTATGTGCTTGCGAGTGCAGAGGCGAGCAGCAATCTGGCGAGGTTCGACGGGGTGCAGTACGGTGTGTTTGTTTCTGGACGCTATTGGCTCGAGTGCTGACATGGGCATGAGGGATGAATGTGCGCGCGCCACAGGGACTGGGTCTGACGGCGGGGCAGCGTTACGCGTACACGCGATCTGCAGGGTTTGGTGGAGAGGTGCAGCGGCGGATTCTGCTGGGCACATACGCGCTGAGTGCGGGCAAGTTTGACAACTATTTCCTGCAGGCGCAGCGGGTGCGGGAGCTGGTGCGGCGAGACTTTGAACGTGTGTTTGGCGAGGTGGACGTGCTGGTGCATGGGTCGGCTGTGCGGACGGCGCCGGTGCTGGGCGAAAGGCCAGAGGGCGTCGAGGCGTACGTGCAGGATGTGCTGACGGTGCCGGCGTCGTTGGCCGGGCTGCCTGCGCTGAGTGTGGCAGTGGGCGAGGGAGAGCCTGTGGGAGTGAGTGTTGTGGGAGACTGGGGAGCAGAGGAGATGGTGTTTTTGGTGGGAGGCAGGGTATCCAAATTGTGAAAGTGAAATATGAAATGGCATTCCTACATTAATTGAAATCCAACATTTGATGCCATCAAAGTCGATCTTTTCTTCAACCACGTCGCATGAACGTCGCCGACTTGCTGCAGGACTCTCCGTCCGACGATCTCCGCCGCCGCCCCCCGCCCGAGCCCGCCGCCCCCGCCGTCCCCGCCGCGCCCCCGTCCCCGCGCTGGCACCGCTCCTGGCACGCCTTCCCGCCCCCGCCGTTTGCCCCGCCCGACCCACGGCCTCCTCCGCCGCCGCCGCCGACAACGACGACGACAACGACGACAACGACAACGACGCGCACGCACAGCCACCACTCCCGCCCACCGCCCGTCCCGTCCCCCGCCGTCCTCTACCCGCCCCCGCCGCCCGTGCCGTCCTCCGCCCCCGCAGCAGCCCCGCCCGTGTCGTCTCCCACCGCCCCCACCGTCTGCCCCCGCCGTCCCCCGCAATGGCCTCGCTGCAGACCGCTGCCTCTCCTGGTGGCGGTGCACCCGGTGTCTGGGGGCCGCCCTCGGCTTCTGGCGAGTCTGACTTGTCTTTTCTTTTTTCCTCTTTCTCTGACCGCCGTCCAGATGAAAACATGCCAAACCGCGTCTCCAGTCGCACTCCCACCCGTGTTCCTCCCGTGCCCCCCGTAGGCTCCAATCCTGCCTACTTTGACCGCAAACGGAGCATCGACCGCAGCACTCCACATCTCCACCACCCTCTCGGTCCACCCATCCTCAAGCCCCAGATGGTCGGTCCTGGTCTCCCACCCGTGCAGCACCGCCAGGAGCTTCCTATTCTTGCGCTGGCCCCGCCACATGTCCAGAAGCAGTATGGGACACAGAATAAGTTTCATACGCAGTTTGTGAGTACGTCCGCGGGTCCGGGGAGTAGGATTGCGTCGCCCGCGCCTGCGCCGAGGGAGGCGAGGGAGAGGGAAAAGGAGAGGGAGAGGGAACGTGAGCGCGAGCGCGAACGAGAAAGAGAGCGCGAACGAGAAAGAGAGCGCGAGCGAGAAACACAACGTGTAGAACCGCCCCCCAAACGCCCAAAAACACAAGACGAAATCGACCGCGACGTTGACCGCGCACCATGGTGGCCCGGTCATCCCAGCATCCCGCCCCCGCCGCCTCCGCCGCCTCCGCCTCCGCCCCCACCCGAGTACCCCGCCCCGTTCGGGTACGAACGCATGGGGTACGTCGCGCCGCCAGATGGAGAGGTGTATCATGAGGATCGACCTGCGGTGCCAGTGCCGGGTGGGGGGTGGGACTGGAGTGGGCAGGGTAGAGAGAGGCCGAGGCGCGCGGGAGGGTATGACCAGGGTGTGCAGGTGCAGATCCAGAGTGAGAGCGAGGAGGAGGTCAAAGCCAATGTGTGTGTGCATCTCGGGACGTTCATATGGCCGCGGGTGCCGTTTCCTTATTTCTTTGATATTGGAGTTGGCGCCGGATCTTGTGAGAAGGAGGACGTTGATGCGGGGGACGACGCGGAGACGAGGCCGTCAACGGGCGATGTGGTTAATGATAAGGAAAGTTCCAACGAGGAATCGCCGACGCCGAAACTCGCGACGACCGGCGTCGTTACTGACGCTCCTACCGTCGACACCGAGACGCGTCTCACGATCCTCATTCCCAACGCGCACATCCCGCGCACACGACCCGCCCGGCCCCTCCGGCTCTGGGGCGGCGGCACACCAGGTCGTCCGCCCCTCTCGCCTCCGTCCCCCGCCCCCGCCTCCCCATCCACATCTGCACCCGCACCCGCGCGCCGACGCCGCCGCCGCCGCAGGATATACACGGACGACTCTGATATCTTTCTGTGTGCTGTGCATGCGGGGTGGGCGACGTGGAGCGGGGCTCGGAGGGCGAGGGCGGAGGGGAGGGATGCGAGGGTTGAGGTGAGGGTTGTTAGGTGTGTTGGGGGGGAGGGGGGGAGTGTGGGGAGAAGAGAGGAGGTTGTTGGGCGGTTTTTGGGCGGGTTTGGGGAGAGGTGGGTGGGTGGTGGGGAAGGGGGAGAAGAGGATGATGGGAGGGGGTTGGTTAGTGCGGGGTGGGGAGCTGGGCATGATGGGAGTGCGATTGAGATTGTTGGGTTTCAGTTTGTAGAGGTGAGTGGTGGTGGTGGTGGTGTTTGTTTGTTTTTTTTTGGCTGATTTTTTTTTTGGTAAGAAGGGAAAGTCGACGGCGCTGAGGGGGCTTAGGAGCCGGAAACAGCGGTTGGCGGAGTATTATGAGCGGCGGGCGCATGTTGTTGGGCTGCCGATGACGGTTGCTGAGCGGGAACGTGAACGCGAGCGTTCGCGCGTGCCTGGACGTAAACGGCGCAGAGGATGGGATTGGCCTGTGTATCAGCATAGACGGGTGCCTAGCGCGACCGTGCTAGATACGGTTGTGGAGGTGGACCTTAATGAGGCGACGTACCACCCTGATCCGGAGGAGGATGCGCAGATGAGTGTGCAGACCGTGACGTTTGGTGTTGGGCCTGCTGGTGATATTCAAGCCGGGTGAGTCCCAGAAGCGTTGAGAGATCATCATCATCATCATCATCATACTGAACGATGTATGTAGATTCAAATTCGAAGCAGACGTTCTACGAGACGTGTTGTTCCCCCCGGCTGTGTCTTCATCTTCATTCGTACATCCCCCGCCTCGGAAGAAGCGGAAGATTGATGCACGGGCTGTAGATCCGGCGCTGAATATCGACGCTTTGCTGCCCCCTGTGCGGTCTGTGATTCTCGAGACGGAAAAGGAGAGGTATCTCCTCTCGCCGTGTATCGGCACGCTGTTTGTGGAGTATGATGTGTCGTTGGTGCTGGATGCGGAGGTTGATGAGGAGGTGGGGGTGCTGGAGGGTGCGTCTGCGGCTGTGGTGAGGGATACGGATACGGCACGGACAGCAGTGTTGAAGGATGTTGTGATACCACCGCCTTTGTCGCCAGGCGAGATTCGTGATGAGGCGAGTGAAGAGATGATGTCTGGGTTAATGGCGGATAATGACGACGATGGGGGTGGGGGTGGGGGTGTGAATGAGAAGACGCTTCTCTTGCCGGAGATGAATGCGAACGAGGATAAGCCGAAACAGATGATGCTGCAGACGTTGCAGCGGAACCTTGGCGAGGATATGTTTAGGTTCGCAAAGGAGGGTGTGTATGTGACGGATATGATGAGTGAGGAGATGGATGTGGATGCGAGGACTGAGTGGATTGTTCAGGTTAAGAGGTGGAAGTGGGGTCCGTCCTGAGGGACAGGAATTGAGTTCGAGATGATTTTTTTTTTGTTTTTTTTTTTTTTGGGTTAATGGGTTGTGTGGTTTGTTAGTTGGCTATGTTATCTATCTATTCGAGCGCTTTGGTTTTAGTAGAAGGAACAAACTGTGAGTCTGCGTCTTGTGGCGTAGAGAAACATATGGAAACAGGGCACATGGTGTAGTTGGTTATCACGCCCGCTTAGCACATTATCGAGAAGTGTATTATGCGGGCGGTGCCCGGTTCAATTCCGGGTGTGTCCATACAGATGAGTCACGAATGTGTTTTTTTTCGGTGAGACACAGAAGAAAACATAACATAATACAACATGAGAAAAAGGATAAGCTAATTATGAATTGGCCAACGTGGGGATCGAACCCAAGACCTTCGCGTTATTAGCACGACGCTCTAACCAACTGAGCTAGTCGGCCAGTTGTGGGTTAGACAGTTTGAGTCAATCGGATTGAGAGGGGACATTCCAAATATTGTATCTCCTCGCAAGAAGGACAAGACAAATTCCACTTGTAAGCAAACTGTTTAATGATCTTTGATGAGCACCACATTGGCTGTGATCAACATGACGAAGAATGGAATGAAATGCTAAAATGAAGGTCTGAGATAAAAGTATTGAGTTCAGATCAGCAAAATGAAGTAGAACCATGATTGAACATACCTTCCTGCCCTGGGAACCATCACTCTTCAATGTCAGGCTCAATCTGCCTGTTCAAAACCTGAGTGGATGGAGACCCCAGATCTGGGATCCTTTGTTGCAATTGAGTATAGTAGTCCCACTCAGAAGAATAATCTTCTTAAGATTTGGAGAAGCTTCTGTCCATGTATATGCCAATTCAAGCTCTCTTTCCAAATTTACACTTTGTCAGCTTTGTTTTATTTAGAAGGAACATAGTCTGAACATACCTCATATGATTCTGCATCCTTAGCAATAAGATGCAGGTGTAATAGCAGGGAATGATTCATTCAATGATTTAAGGTTGTCAATCAATGTTTTCTCTGTAATGGAGCTCACCCACAGCTTTGCAGTACTGAATTGGCAGAGCATGAAGTCATTGCTATTTTTAAGCAAGGATATGCTGTTATTCAGAATTTCACAGACTAGACAGGTGCTCCAATAAGGGTTTAGCACTGGAAATGCTAAAATGTGTTCAGAAAATGATCCCAATGCCCAAACATTAAGCCTATGCTATGAGTGTGCTGTCCACTGTTGATAGACTGAGATTGTTTCAAGGTCAGGATGCCAACCAGATTCCTTTTGAAAACAAACTTCTCAGAGGTTGTTATGAAATTGAGCCCATTTGACAGAATCTAAGCTTGTAGGAGCAATAATTGTTTTCAAAGAAAGAGTACAACACCTGCTGCATTGTTAATCAATGTCTTTGTTGTAAGATAGCTGAAGATTAACATACTATGTTGGAATTCTAACTTCAGATACTGACAGAATTGGTAAGTGAACAGTCCTCAGTTTGATGTACAATCAACTATATTACTGTACCTGACATTGGTAAGTGAATAGTCTACATAATGAAGTCAACATGTGTTTGATTTGAATGTACAGTAGATAGTGACTCACCCTCAGTTTGATGTACATTCAACTGAGGGTGTAGTCAGATATGTAGGTAGTTGTTTATATATGTGAAGTGATGACAATGGAAGGTGGATCGGGCAAGTAAGAGTGGAGGGGTTGCCTGGGGTTAATTCGGGGACAGATTAAGTTGCCGCCATTATCCCTTTGTCTCTTTCAATATCACTTTCCCTTCACATTCACTGTTTCACGTTCTCATTGTTCCAACTACGTATAAACCAGCAAGCGTAGCAAGCGATGTCCTTGTCGACTCACACTGTGCTCGCAGGTAAGCAATCTTCATAGTTTCTACCGCGTCGACTCACACTGTGCTCGCAGCGCCCGCTCGATCAGTCATACGCCCACATTACATCACGCGTCTTTTTGTCACGCCTCAGCTCTCCTGAACAGTCCAACCCTCGTGCATGCTGCCGCAGCCACTGAGGGCACCTGACGGTCGTTTCACACGAGCTACACCCCCACCTCCCACTCTTCCCCAAACCACTATGTCTTCCGAAGCAGCAGTCTCCGTCGAGGAGTTCGCAACACTCCGCGAGTCTCACACGCAGCTCCACACCATGATGTCCGAGCTCCTCACAACCATTTCATCCATGTCGAACGCCGCCGCACCGTTGCACACGCCCACGGCTCCCCAGCACGCTGTCCCAGTCTCACCACCTCAGACGATCAGCCCGTTTGTCCCGCCAATCCTGGGCACCGGAACCAACGGTGCGTCATCTGCATCTCTCTCCCTTCGCACCCAATTCCCCGACGTCGATGCGGCGGTGATCACGGCTATCATAATGCACGAGTTCAAGGCCGCAGATCTTCACAAACTTGACCCGACGAACCACGACAAGGAAACGGCATACACCTTTAACGGGTCCACCAACCAATTCGAGGTTAGCCACCGAGCAGCAAAAGAGTACAAAACCCCATTCACCGTCCTAATCCCCCTCCAAACATACTTTGACATTCTCGCGTTCCACGTTAACAATGCTGCCGCCACAGGAGCATTCTATTGCTACACTGCCCATCTCCTGAAGCTCATCGCGGAATACGAGTGGTCGGCAGTCTATGATTATCACGCCATCTTCTTTAACCACCGCAGAGCGGAGATAGCGGCGGGCGATTACTCACAATGGGGTCGTCGCGATAATGACCTTCTCTCAGAGCACGTACACGGTCATCGGAAAGTGAACCCCACGAAGCACACAAAGGGGCCCTCAGGTAATCGGGCGCCAGGCAACCCCAGTGAGGCATGCCGCAAATTCAATGACGGCAAGTGCCCCACAACTCCTTGCCCATGGGGACGACCACACTCATGCACCACATGCGGGAAGGCTGACCACGGCAAGCACCAGCACAAGGACTAGGCTGTGGGCTGGGTGAGCGAGCCTCACACCGCTCACCAGAGCCACCCCACAGGTTTTCACACATCATCCAATGGTCCTAATTATCTGCCACCTCTCAATTCTTCTCTTCCCATACCCCCAGCCCGCCCCAACACTGCACCACATGCAAACACCACAACCCATGATTCACCAGACCCCCCTCACGTGTCCTCCACTCTCAACGCTGCAGCATGGGATTTCTACTTAAAAGACTACCCCGATCACTCACTTGTATCTACATTATTCCAAATAATACGTTTTGGTGCAAAAATTGGGTTCACAGGTGACCGATCTGTGAGCCAAGACTGCATCAATCTTAAGTCCGCCACAACCAACCCGATCACAGTCGACACACTCTCTAGCGACATTGCCACCCAGGTGGCCAGTGGCCGCATGCGGGGGCCTTTCGACTTGGCCCCATTCCCCAATTTTTGCCCATCGCCCATTGGGGCGGTTGCCCATAAGCGATCCTTGAAAATACGCCGCATCCACCACTTATCATGGCCAGAGGGCAGCTCGGTTAACAATGGGATACCGGACTCTGAGGCCTTGATCATCTATGACATGGTGGACTGCGCAGTACGCGACCTCATCGCATCTGGACCGGGCTCCTTGATGCTGAAACTCAACCTTGAGTCGGCATTTTGCCACATACCAGTCTGCATAGAGGACTGGCCGCTCCTCGGCTTCGAATGGCTGGGGAAACTATACTTCGACGTCGTACTAGCATTTGGCGCTCACTCCACCCCATACATATTCAACCTATTTGTGGAGGCGCTGCACTGGATCTTACAGCGCAACATCCCAGCCCGTATCCGACACTACCTTGACAATTTCCTGGGCATTTTTGCTCCCAGCACCCCCCTTTCCCTTGTACGCAGCTCGCTCTCTTGGGCCCAGACTCTAGCAGGGCATCTTGGCCTCACATTCCAGCCTTCAAAGATTGTGGGTCCCGACACCTCGATCGAGTACCTTTGGCCTCGAGCTCGACTCGATCAAGATGGAGATTTGCCTGCCCCAGGACAAGCTTGCCTATCTGCAGGAGCTCATGGCTACATGGTCGCAACGGCGCCGGTGTACGCTCCATGACCTAGATGAACTCACGGGATTCCTCCAATTCACATCTCAGGTCATCCCCATGGCACGAGCATTCCTCAGAGGCCTCTACGACCTGGCAACAGCATTTCCCAAGACCCCCTTCACTTCACGACACATCACAAAAACAGCACGCAGAGACATCCAGTGGTGGGCCACTATTGCTCCAGATTGGAATGGCATCTGCATCATCACACCCACGAGAAAAATGGCAAACATCTTCACAGATGCAAGCAGTGCCAAGGGCCTCGGTGGGCATTTTGGGACGGAATGGTTTGCCGCATGCTGCCCTTGCCGCCTCCGACATGAACATATCCAGGTGAAGGAAATGTTTGCGGTGATCTATGCCATCCTCTGCTGGGGGGAATCACTTCGGGGTCTCCATGTAATCTTGCATGTTGACAACAAGGCCGTATTCAACGCAATCTGCGATAAAACAATCCGGTCCAAGCCAACAATAAAACTCGTGCAATTATTGATAGCCCTTGCTTGCTGCATTGACTTCTCTTTTTCCTCTGAGTGGTTATCTTCTACTGAGAATTCTGTTGCTGACACTGCTTCCCGCTTTTCCTTTTCCTGCATGTTCACTATTGCCCCTTGGCTCAATAAGAAACCCTCCTTGAAGCACCTCCAAACTGGTGGTTTCAGCAAAACAGACACCATCCCCCATCCGTTGCCTTTTATCTTTGGCATGGACTCGCGGCCAGCACCAGACGCACGTACTCAACTGGCCAAAGGCAATTTATTCTCCACGTACAGCTCAACAATTTATACAATGCCGACGGATCAATCCTCCCTGCCTCTCAGCTCACCATCCTCTCTTGGGTTGTGAGCCTCGGCAGCAGAGTTCAACCCAAGACGATCAAAGCCTACCTGGCCACAGTCCGCTCACTTCATGTTGATGCCAACCTCCCCTTCTCCACAATCGAGTCACCCCTTGTGCAACGCGTCCTCCGCGGCATTAAATGCTACTATGGCGAGCGAGACCGCAGGCCAGTTCAGCCCATCACTCTGCCCATCCTCACTTCCCTCTTGGCAGGTCTCAAGCCAGGCGCTGCACCAGGACACACGGCAATCCACGCAGCGTGCTGCCTTGCCTACTCAGGATTACTCCGCAGTGGCGAGTTCACGGTGGGAAAGGGCAGCAAATACAGTGCCAGTCTTAACCTCGCACGAAGCACAGTACAATTCGTTC